AGATAAACAACTACCTATCGAAATATGATAGTCGTTAATTATGTTAAGTAATCCTTGATTGTTTTATGAGTCCTTTAGTAGCTTTGTAGTTCTCTAGTATCTGAAACGTCGAATTAAACCGTGGGATATCAAAAAATACGCTGTTGAGTATGCGATAAGATGCCACTTTACCATCGTCTCGAGCAAGTGACGACAACCAAACGCATGTTGAAATAACTCTGTCGACAATACCTTCGGACCAATGAGATATGTATGCCGTCGAATCGCTTACAGTATACTCTCGCTTACAGTACGGTCATAGTTGCGAGCTGAAAAACTGACACGGTTTTGTACTCCGAAAGCTTCGTACATCTTCGTATATTTAAAAACACTTTTTAACTGAGTTTTAAAAATGTCGGCTGGCGAACTGATGTTCTTCCATGTGTTCAGCACCATTTAAAACCGTATTCAATACGGCTTGGTTCGGGTTTGTTGAGGAAATTCATTGTGTCCATGACTTGCACATATTGTAAAATTTCTAGGATATTTTGGTCTTCAAGGCTCCTTTTTGGAGAGGCACGAAATAAACATGCAATCTGATCAATAAACAGCTGCCATCGATGTGACGCCAATATTTCATGTTATGACAGCTTAGTCACTGACGTGTTGGAGTGAAAAATGCGTACGACTTGGCCACAGTATTGTGAGACAGCATGTATGTTCAGTTTTGAAATAGGCACCATGAATCATAATAGAATTTTATCATCGTTGGAATGTCAGGTGGAATTTTTCACTATTTTTTGAATACATTGCGCTCAGGAGCTGTTCCACATTATTGGTGTAATAGCGAAATTTTGACCCCACCTTTCACAATTCAGTTGAAGACCAGATCAAATGATTCAAAGTGCTTAAAAACATCTGAACATGACAAGAAATCTACTTTTTTCTGCTTAACGGAGAAAGATACAATATATGAAACATGGCGAAATTGGAAAAACATTTTTCACCACTTAATTAGTTGATTTCATTCTTTCTGTCAGTTATTTGTTATTGGAGTTGGGCTGAAATTTAAATGTTATTTATTCTGAAAAACAAGATTATTTTATAAATTTGCCCAGGCAATAAACTGTTAACTGATAATTAAAGTTGATGGCCGTCTGTGTGCTATCAGATAATTGCCGCATATAATATTTATTTTCATTAGAATCATCAAATCCCATTACTTATGTTATTACCTGTATGTTAAATATTCAGCCATTCAAATTTAAACAAATTCAACATGCATAATGTGGCTGTCAGCGCTAGAACAAAATAACGGCAGGGTTGCACGTCGGTAGAAGGCTACAGATTGAGCAACAGCAACTGTACCGGCCAAGCGTGAACTTGCTGGACGAAGTGGATCGAAGGGACCGTTTCGAACAAATGACTAGATTGGCATAGGCGTAATAAGTTATCATGTTATCAAGTTATCAGGTACTGGATGTAATAAGTTATCATCGTAACGTGTTGCAGGTTGTAATATGCACAGGGTTATGTTTCATTTACTCGGTTGGCCATCGTCGCTTCGGATATCATCGTCACGGGTGACATGTCTGCGGGTCGCCAGTACACTTCAGCAACGTGTACTGAATGGTGCAGAGTGGACGGAGCCGACGGAGTTCTTCATAGAGACGATGATGGATGGTGACACTCTCACACGATGAAGTGAGTTAAAATACCTGTAGTAAGTTTGTGCCGTGACAAGATGATCTTCTGTGAATTTAGCCGGTGGGTTGTTGTTGCTCATGAATCCTCTACGATTACATGCACTGTAATAATTCTTTGCTTCAGTTACGATGTGTATCTACCAATAAAACGCGTCGACAGTCGTTGCTTATATTCAATTTTATACCTCATATACCTAATTCCCGTCGCTAATCAAAATACCAGTAAGATATAACTTCATTTTAACGTATATATGGTTGTTGTTGTGCCTCTTTTTGATCGAGGGCCAAGTTCTTTGACCTGTAAGCTAAACATTGTTAAATTTTTCACGAAATT